AAAAAAATTTTTTTAAAAAAAAAATTTTTTAAAAAAATTTTTTTTAAATTTTTTAATTTTTTTTTTTGGGGTTTTCCCCCCCCCCCCCCCCCCCGGAAAAAAAAAAAAATAAAAAAAAAAACCACACAAAGAGAGAAAAAAAAAAAAAAAAAAAAAAAAAAAAAAACACCCCCCCCCCCCCCCCCCCCCCCCCCCCGCCCCAAAACCCCCCCCCGAAACGGGGGGGAAAAAAAAAAAAATTTTAAAAAAAAAATTTAAAAAAAATATCCGCTTTTTAAACCGTTAAAGTGTTTTATTTAAAAGTTTTTAGAACATCATCATCTTCGGATTAATCATTGGGCCGCATTTTCGACATTAAATCATAATAGCATATAGGAACTTTTTTACAAGTTTTCTTTATCAAAGTGCTTCATAACTCCTTAAACTAAAGCCTGCTGTTTTTTTATCTCTAAATATCAATCTGTAGCGATCATCTTTACTAAATTTAATTAGACTTTAATGGTGATTTTTAGGGATAATACCCCGTACATTCGATGGTAAAAAAATCCGTGTAGCATAATTATGCCTTAGCGTAAATAAAAGCAGAAACTTTATAGTGACGCACATAATTCAAACGAGTTGAGCAATTTAAATTTATAATGACCGACAATAACGCAACGGAGTTGTGTTAATTGCAATTGTGTTTACACCGCTGTTCGAATAACTGAGCTTTGTACTCTATATTTGGCGGAAACCACTCATTGATCAATTTGATCTGTTATTACATTTCAATAGCGCCGATAAATTGTGCCGTGTTCGCTTTATCCTTAGAGTACACAAAATGGCGGACACTCAAAATGTCTACGCAGTACCCAGCATGATTTAAGACGGTAAATTTTGTGTCCCACTTGGCCATGTCTGCTGCAAAACATCCGAAACGTCGGGCCGTTCTTACATAATTTCGTGTTTAAAACCTCCAAAACTGTTTTATTTCAATGACCCCTTGCGTCGAAAATCTAGATTGTAAAAGTATCTATTCATTCGTTCATTTGTGCTGTAACGAATTGAATTTTTTCAACTTATTGATACATGCACCTATCGCGCAATGTAATTTCAACCTTAACACTTGCAAATTAAGGTTCAACGTCTTATGCTTTGCAGCTTTAGAAATCAACCGGTTCAAGTCCTGCCCGAGTCGAGAAATTTGACAATTTATTTTAAATTATATAATGCCTTCATGTGCAATAACATGTAAAAAATAATAAAGTTTTCAAATTGTAATTTAATCTTCAATGATTTTTAAGTGCAAAGCATAAGACGTTGAACCTTAATTTGCAAGTGTTAAGGTTGAAATTAGCATTGCGCGATTGGTGCATGTATCAATAAGTGAAAAATTGACGATGAGGTGTAGGACTCGGTAGCTCAATTGGTCCTGCCCGAGTTGAAATTTTTTTCAATTTATTTTCGATTTTTTAATTATAAAGTGTTTTATTCAAATTATACAATTAGACAAAGAAAAATTACAAATTCATTACAAACAGGTTGGACAGTGGAATCGAACTTGCGACCCGTTGATTGTTAACCATAAACTGCCATTATTCGACTACCAAGCCCATAAAAATTTATCTTAAATTATATTTTATACGTACCTTTATCCAACTGGAAATTTGACGGAGTATACATGAAATAGGTATATTTCATTCCCACGTTTTAACATAATATGTTATTTATATAATAATTTAGTTCAGTTGTATATTCCATGACACCACGGCATCAAAACTTCGTCCACAGAAGCAAGGACAAAATTAACTTGTGCATACACAACTTAATAGTGTTCTTGTTTATCTAGATCTGACTTGCATAACCTAAGGCAGTGTCAGAAATATAACTTACTGGAAATATCGTATCAGTAAATATGCTATAAATTAGATATAGCAATTAGTCCAAAACATGTTCATGACACTAAGAACAAAGCTTTTGTAAATATTTTGTTCCCATTTGGGACATGGGGCATGCCTAAGGATTGGAAGATTATAAATATATATAGAATACTCTTAACGTAAGTCTTTAATTTATGCGAGTAGTATACATTAAAAAATCTTTTAACGGTATAACTAGGCGATACAACTATGTCCCGACGTTTTATATGTTATGCAGCAGTCATGGTCGCATGGAGAAATTCATAAAATTTAACTAATACATATCGTGTTATAAACCGTTAAAAGTTTTAAAACTTAATGAGTAAATGCTTTGCCAGCGGGAGGACTTAAGTTCCAGTCCCTAGCAAAAGATAAAATGTTTCGCGATAAACGATAAAATGTTCGGGAATGGCACGGAAGTCAGATCAACTACTTAACTTGAAATCTGTGAATGATCAGAGATACGGACACAGAAATGTGTTGATCCCAAGCCCCGGGGAGGAAACGGTTAATCGGCTAAACTAGGTTTTAAAGTGGGACAAAAAACGTAAAAGTCATATAATATTCATAGGTTTTCTTGTAAAACCAGTGTAGAACATTGATCCAGGAAGTTCTACAGAGCGTAAAGAGTAGTTTATAAATAACAAGGTTGTACTCTTTGATTCCATACGCAAAACGAAAATTTAAGATACATAAAGTTTAAAATAATCCACAGAAAAAATACAAGGACATACTTTACACAGAAACTGTTCGAAATTATTAGTCATAAAGACTTGCTGTTAAATTATAATTTGAACTTTATTCACATGTTTTAATAAATTCTTCGTATCTCAAGTGGGTTTTTCCAATGATTGATTTAATTGCAACGTGTGCATGATAATTACTTCCATAGCACTTAAGAAGTACAATCTATTGGAAAGTTTATAACAACAACACACACATGTAAACGCTATTTTTATATATGAAAATAGGGCATTCAACGGTTTAAACGCGAAATATTTTGGTTACCCTATTTTTATTATTTAAACTATGAGCCGACGTTTCAAATACTTGGCGGCAGCCGTGGACACTGGGGACGAAAATGTGTCATAATATTCTGTAAATTACAACTTCATAATACTGTAGGATAATAATTACAAATGGATCGTTACAATAAAGAAGTGTACCGCGTTTGCAGAATCTGCAAGACATAAAACATTTGCATGAATTAATGCGAACTTACTTGGTGTACTAGAATAATTCTAAGAAAAGCCTAATCTTATGGTAATTGAACTAAAATTCTACAAAAATTATGACAATTATTAATGTCAATTTCTTTACTTTCTATAAAGATACTTTATGACACATCCAAACGCACTTACAGCACTTACTTTATTGCTCCTCCGTTATGTATCGTATAATCCCTACCATAAATTATCACACCTAATTGTTAACAGGCTCAATGTATAGTCTCACTTGTTCGATCCCCACCAGAGCAAACATGTTTCAAATCAATTTATATTTTCCTGAAATATTTTTAGCGTTGATTGGAAATTTGTCTGTTACGTGGGTGATAGGAATATCGAATTATCCGTCCCGGTCGCAAACTACTGTTCACAGAAAAAGCCGTGATTTGTAATCGCGCTTTATTTTTGAATATTCAGAACCAAAATAGATCGAGAGCGCATCAAGTTATATCCCTTCTATTAAGCGAACCATATGCTTGTCTATCCTTCTTTAACATAAGAAAAATAACGTAGATAAAAGAAAAAAAATTAATTACGAGTCTTTTCTATTAATGTGAAGTGTCAAAAATACGAATTCTTATCTTTAAGAATTATATTTTATTTATTTATCTATTAATAAAATCTATTCTCACTTTTGAAACAGTATCCATATAAGTATTTGATGCCTTTTATTCAAACCGAGCCTCTGATATCTTTTGATTTCCAACATAATACCCTAGAGTACACCTAAAAACGTATTGCCGCCACTATTGTATGCAAATATACTTTTGAATAATACAGGAAATATTTTTCCTCGAACCGATTCCTTTTGTACTATTCCATTCCATTTGTATTAGAAAGTGATTGGCTTAGGAAAAAATGGAATACTTTAACCTTTGTATTATTATACAATTAAAAAAGAAAGTGAACAAAAAATAGATTGTAAGAATTATTAGATAAGTAAGTAAAATTCCTTAAAATATTAATGCATTTTTATGTTGCACGCAAGAAAAAGTAGATTTTCTATAAAATTTCTTAAAAATATTAAAATAAATATCTTCTACAACATATAATTTATAACTTAAAAATTCGAAAATAAATTGAAAAAATTTTCGACTCGAGCAGGACTTGAACCGGCATCGTCAGCGTTCCGTGCTGTTGCTCTACCAACTCAGCTACCGAGTCCTACACCTCATCAATTTTTTCAACTTATTGATACATGCACCTCTTGCGCAGTTTAGTTTATAACTGTTCGGATGCGGAATACCTTGAAATTTCCTAGCTTAGTCGTAATATCACCACACAGGACGCACATCATCGATATATAATACTAGCAATGTTAGCGACGTCGTGCGGAATAGTTATTTTAATTCTGCAAACAACCTCCTTAGCTTTACAAATTATGACCCGAACCCATAACCTCGTCCACATCCCGTCGCGTAGTGCAGGTTAATCCTAAAACATAGACACAATTGTGTAGCGGACATTTTGTAGATGATCTTAAGAGCAATCATCGCTTCTTACATATTTGGGTATCTTTAACAGTTTCCGTGTAAATATCTCTGAGCGGGATGAATTTATTTTCCCCTTTTTTACACATTTTCCACTGTTTCTTGGCTCCTATTTGTATCATTGTAATGTTTTATAGCCTAACGCCTTTCTTTAACTCACACAAAAAATGTTTCAATTCAAACTAGTAGTTCTTGAGATCAGCGAGTTCAAAAAAACAAATAGACTCTTCAGCTTTATATATTAGTATAGATCTTAAAAATAAAACTGATATTATCATAATGAAAATAACTCTGATCATCTATTTCATAACATCGTGTTTATCGATATCAGATTTATTAATATCGGCGTTAGGTTACTGGAATTTGAAAAAGGCGATAAAATTCGCATGAAAGATTGTGATGAGGGTGGGGAAAATGAATACGCTCCTTTAGAATTATCAAGCATGAGCTGGCTGCTTGTTTTCGGTCGGATAATTTACGAAACATTTTTACTAATAGCTGAATTAATGATCCGACGTCGTTCCGATAAACTGAACATAAGAATTTGAATTGGGTACGTTCTTTTATTTCGAAAAATCTATGCTCAAATAATTTGCAAGCCATAATCATGAATAATTGATTATTATTCAAATTACTAATTTCGTTGAATGTGTTAACCGCGAGAGGCTCTAGGTTCTAAGCTCGGGGAAAGATTTTTTTTAAAGACAGAAGAGGACAGACATAGCATGGGTTTACCTTGATGGTAGGTGATAAACTCCAGCTTATAACATCTAATCTTTTTTGTTTGGAAAATGCAGACTGAAACCGAAACGCGATGAACCTTCACGGTTTTATCATCTGTGGACGGTGGTTCGTGACCAGACGGAATTTCTATATTCCTACCACCCAATCAATATCCAGATTTCCAGCGAAGTCATTCAAAAATTATAAATTGAATAATTAGGAGATAGTAACATGATGGACCTGGTGGAGATCGAACCAATGATCATGTTGTTCATGCTGTTGATCATTAGCCATACATTACTACCATTAGACCCACGAGCCCGTCGGATATCAACTTCTGATCGAAGCGATCCTTAACTTCCGTACTCCAAATCTTAATAAAATTAATATGTTATACAGTCGCTCAATGGCCTATACAGTGAATAAGAAATCTCCTTCTATATAATAAAAACAAAAAATATACTAAAAAAACATCTGATTAGTACGTTTTATACCAATATTATCGTTAGTGTCATTTTAGCAATTATTTAAAAGCTAAACATGTCGGACTGTAACTTATAAAAACTATAAGTAATTAGTTACAGAGATCATTTATTATTGAACACGTCATAAGGATATTATAATGTATTATACGATTGTAAGTTAGAAAAACAGGAAATACAGGTGTGATTATGTTAATCAAATGAGAAAAAATGCGTATACTAATACCATTAACATAATTATTTTGAATCTGTGCTTTTTGATTGACATGTTTTTTATTATCTGTGCGCTGTGGGCCATTTGGCGGGAAATTGTTATCTATGCATGCTCAGTAAAGTAATTTTACTATGTTTCCCGATTAGCCAAATACCTCATTAATGCAAAAGATTGTTGTTCTAGATTTCTTGTATTTTAACTCTAATGTTTATACAGCTATAGAACTAAATTCAAGTTATTTTTTTATTCACTTAAATAACATTAAGACATATTTGGCTGCTATGACATAATGATTAATAAGGAATTTCGGGGAAACTTAAATATATTAAATTGCTTTGTTTAAGCAAAGCTGGTCAAGAATTTCTCTGGCAGCTGGTAGGAAAAAAAACAGAATTGGAGTTCTAACATTTTATGTAGAAATTTATCTTGAATTGACTCTTCCTTTTAAACAAAACACTTTAACGGTTTAAAATGCTATATATATATATATTATATATTAGTTAAAAATATATACCGAAATAATATTGAAAATTGTTTTAACTACGGCCCGACGTTTCGGATGCTTTGCAGCAGCCGTGGTCACGGGGAGTATGTGTTAAAATGATTTTCAAATAAGTTTAACTAATATAAATCGCGTTTTAAATCGTTATTTATTTCGTGTACGTGTTTTATTTAAATGTGTATTACTCGCGTAAACAACTGACAGTATTTGACTCTTCCTATAATAAGAAAGCTGATAGTGAACATACATTTTTATACAATGCTTAAATATTACCTATTTACAGCGAAGTTAAGATAACACTATTATTTTGTATTAGCATAAAATGTGTAGATTAAAGTAAAATCCGTTTCCCCTATAAGTTCTAACGAATTCTTCGCGAAAGTATTTAAAAAACCGACACCCTTATCTACATACGTCGCATATTGGGTCATTGGTTTTAATATAAAAGGTATATGAACTTTGATAAGCAGGACAGATTTGCCGGTTGATTGGTAGAGCCAAAAGTGAATGGAAAATCTGTGGTTGTAGTAACAATATTAGAGCCTTCGTAGACGCACGCGACTATAGATCGAATAAAACATTGGCTTTGCACAGTTTATACATTTTTAATCGTGTTTGTATCTGCGCAGGTTGAATGCTGTTATTACTGTGATATAAAATAGTGTTATTATTTCGAGGTAAGTTATTAAAGCATATATATGTTTATATCAAAAGGAGGCGATATAAGTACTATTTTATACTTTCTACAGAACCCATCTTAGTTTAAATGTCTTGGGTTCAAATCCTGATAAACACAATTGGATACGTTGTTTCAGTCGGAGATCATAATCATCTGGGTACCTGGGTATACGAATATGTCTGCCCATTTGTTCGTCATATTTATTAAATATGTAGGTTTTTAAGTTTAACTTTTAAACAGTATAAATAATAATTCTCTTTTAATAAACTTTGTTGAATAAAACTGCAAGTACTGTTGAAAAGCATCTAAATTTCTTCCCTTGTCACCTTGTTTGTTTAGGACGCTTTAAAAGGGATCTAAACATTTTTGCAAACAAAGTTCTCAAGTCAACATTGCAAGGTTGAACATAAAAAAAACATACTTAATATTATGTGTAACATTAGATCCGACCCCTCGCAAATCTTATTACAAAGACTTGACGCGCCCGCGGTGTTACCTGTGTTACATTATAAATGTCGATTCTGTGAGGAGATAAATTTTAATGACGAAACCTTAAAAAATAAATATCAATTAATTCTGTGAAAAAAATATTAATAGTTTGGACCAAGAAATCGCGTCCTTTATATTAAAGATAGGTAAAATTTCGAAATATTTTGTTATAGGTTGACCAAGTTTTACAAAAAACAAACTACCTAAGTCTGTCTGGTCGGAAATTGTGCTTTGATCTATCAGTCAGCCGTACAGAACAAATCTTTTTATGTTTAGATTCTCTAGAACATCAAGTTCATAGTTACAATTAAGGACAAAAGTAATTTACGCCGTTTATCTTACTCAATGCTTCTAACTCGTTCTATGGAGGTTCTGTCTCGACTATTGCATTCCCCTGTCTGCTTGCTTCACTACTTCCATTGTGTCTTACCAGAAACAATAGATTCATTTGGAATTCAAATCATTAACGTCCGAAGACATTACAATCAGATGAACAGATAATAGACGATCATTGTTAATATTCCGCCGTATAAACGATTCTGAAATTAAATTAGATTGCTTTTACTGGGCGTGATTAGAAGCTCAATAATTTATTAAACTCATATTATGTTGGACAAAAGAAACGTTCATTAATTGTGAAGCCAATGAAATACCAAATAAATTAATTTGGATTTTATTAAAAGGATATTTTTATATTCGTTTTAGAGACTTTTCATGTTCAGTAATAAAATAAATAAATGCTCCTTTTTAAATGAATAAAATAGATCGAATCTTTACTTTCTGAAATATGGTATTATTTACATATTTTATTTGTAAGTTACCCAAGAAAAACGTGTAAATCCCTCTCAATACTAAGGTACAACAACAACACACGCATCTCTCGCATTTTGTAGCATCTATTCAATAAATGGTGGAGTTGTTCAAATCTAAACAATATTTTCTATAGACTAAGTTAGAAACGAGTAATTACTTTTTTAATTGATCGCAATTCTTATTTCCGTTCAGTCATTTTCAGTTTGAATTATCAAGAAAATCAACCTTCATTTTTTGAAGAGCGGTTAACGTAAATTGTTTTATGATTATAAAAATAGTACTTATCGTAATGATAAAGTAAATATAAAACACAAAACTAAAGTCAATTAGATTCACGAGAACTAACTCTAAAATTATGAATAAATAAACGTGGCGGATGGGAAAACATGATTTCAATATTTCAAAAGTTTGTCTTTGAACGGGCTGGTAAACACTCATTTTTCGTGTATGTATTTGTTTTTCCTTGGCCTTTGGAAAAAAGATGGTGTAATATACACTCGAGAATGAGTTTTTGTTAAAAGCCATTTCAGTTTTTTCTTGAATACAATGCTTGAATAGATAATTAAGGTACGCATTGTGGAGGTCATTTTTAATGGGCAAATATGCTTTTCAACTTATTTTTTGGTCATAACATACACTTACGACTAGAAAAAAGATATCGGAGTTATGCCTAACTCCGAATAGATCAGCTCAGGCGATATTAAAAAAATAAAAATACATAATATACGAAAAACAAGAAGAAATACCAGTACTTAACTCATAGTCAAACGTTACACAAACATTTCGAGTTATTCACGTCTACGTCTTCGATGAATCAAAATATCGGGACTTAATATCACAGACATCGTTCGAGATAACAAAAGAGCATAACGGGCTTTCTTAAGCCCTTATAACAACAAAAAATAAATACTGCACATACTTCTTGCAGGCATAGATTACGCCACTAGGGTTTATAATAATAATAACACAATTTACGGTACATCTTGTATAGGACAACTGAGTACTCTTGTACTGCATTTCTTGCGATTAAATTTGGTTTATAGGTCAATTCAAAGATATCATCAGGTACCTAAACACATAAATTTTAATTCTTGAATTAAAAATTAAATCTACCGTCAATAATAATGAAATAGCAGAATCGGTTAGTATACACCAAATACAATATAGATCAATAGGAACTACAACTTGTAAAACAATATTATATGACGCAAGATAAAGTGAAAGTAATGTTGTCGACATTACAGAGGTTGTAGCAATAAGCAACAAGCGTGTACCGATGATGTCGGGGATGCTGTATTACTGTTATTACATCGACCTTATACGTAATTTTATAATTTTAGAGTGTATTTAAGTAATCATACACATCATACTTATATTCATCTCTATGGGAGGTCCGAACTTGTTCAATCATTAATTTGCTAGTTTGAATACATCATATCGTTTGGATTACTTGAATTTATTTAAAACTTGTGTCTTTTGTTTTTTTACTAAAAAAAATATTAAATTAAGTTTCCTTTAAGGAAAACATTTACCTAAATTTACACTTTCGCAAAGATATTATTTCGCATAAAGTTTCTTTACGCCCAGAGGAAAAATAATATATCAAACTATTTAGAAATTCCTTTCTCGTTGAACACAATCCCTTCGCTTGGAGCCTAGTATCAATTCCTCGTTGGCAAGCAGATCACACCTGAATCAAAGTTACGATGCGTGCCGCATAATTGTTAATTTAGTAAAATATATTCCATAGCTGCTCTCGGGCTTTAAATACGCATTCTAGACGTGCGTCACAATTTACGCAGATCTTTTTGTGACCGTTTTCTGCTATTTTAACTAAGATAGTTACTTTAAATTGTGTACAGAGAGCTACAAAAGTAGTTCAGCAATAAATATTTATCGCATATACGCTATCGTGACTTTTAGGAGTGGCAACACTGAACTTAATGCACATATATAACAGAATCCTACTATGTCTTTTCTTCGCTTACTACTTTTAACCACCTTAGTAGGTAAAAGGCATTTCTTTTAGCGTGAGAAGTCCTGAGTTCGAATCTCGGGGAAACAATAAAATGTGTTCCTCGGGCAGGGCACAGGAGATTGATAAAACTTGCCTGTAAAATCCGATCATTAAAATGAACATAAAAATGTGTTCGCCCCAAGCCCCAAGAGGGAAAATGGAATTTTACTACTATTTCATCAACAAATACTACGAAACGTTCTGAAGTATGAATTTAACTTAACGGTTGAATACAATGAAAGTGTAAGCATTGTGTTAATTTCTGACGTCTTTTCCTTTAATGTAAATAATGATAGCAAAATAAGAACGAAGTTGCGTGACAAATAAATTATTTTAGAATTAACTTGACCTTACATTTGAGTACTTTGCCGTTTATTCTATTTCGTATGTGCATAAGGTTTGCAAAATTTCCGTTCTTCAATGTCAGCTTCTGTGGTTGACTGTACTTTTTGTTAACCGCGGAAGATTACTGAACGGACATGAAACCGGTTGTATGTGTTCCTTATTATAAAAACTGACTCGAAGGTACCTTACATATAAAAATAATAATATGACACCAACCACATTAATTTAAAGACATTAATAAAGATTGTAATAATAGTTTTTTATTCTTGTAGTCTAGGCATTGTAAACTTTATATCCTAACAAATACAGTTCGAAAGAAAAGTGAAGATGCCTTTTAGAAAAAAAAGGTATCTTTGAATTTATCCAGGGGCTTAAGACAAACAGAAAAAGCAGGTCACGGCCTTGATTAGTGGGAGAATAATGCACGTGTGTCTGGGATAAATCCATTTCATTAAGCCAATAAATACCTTGGATATTGAATTTAATATGCCGTATAATATACTGTGGATCCGTGTATTAATGTGGATGTCTGTCTGTCTGTCTTAAATTCCCATAACGTGAAATATTCTTGGAATATATTTTAAGTAAAGCAATATCAAAATATATGTCCATTCTTTGGCCTAAAAATTACTTTTTGTATGTATCCACTACTTCTAAAATCGGAAAAAAACGTGCATTCAGTAAATGATAAACAAATTACTATTATTAGGTTACTTTTGACGATTAAATGTTGCATGTAAATAGAAGTAGGATTATGTTATAGAACATAGATAATTAAAACGTTAATAGTCAATACTGGACTCTTTTAAGAAAGACGACCTTAACACATAATATAAAAATGTTAAAGGCATATCAGATACCTACCTAAGTTTGTGGAAGAGAAGAATCGTACGTGCAAGGATACAAATATTTTACTGGCATCAAATATTCAACTACTCTCGCCCAACACAGCTTTCAACACAAATTGACATGTCTTTCTTAGTAGTGGAAGGGTTAATATTGAGTGTTTTGGGTGTTTGGGGGTTAGGGACACCTAGTACAGTTATTGCAAGTGTGATTGCATCGTGGTGAATAATCCAATTACCCGGTTGCTTTGATATCGACCGACTTCCGCTAATATTGTCGGAGGATATAATCGAATTGCGCCGGTTGCCTCAGCTGAACGGCAATATAAATTATTATAGCAATTCCCTTTCACAATATTATTCAGGTGTTATTTCTGTACTCGTAGAAATATGCTCTTCTCGTTTGAGAGGTGGTTAGTGCCTGCAGATTACGATCTAGAAACTTCTAGTTGGGTTATATATTATAAAAATAGGTGATATATTAATGCGGTATTTGGAGTATGTTGGATATTTTTATATTGTTTCTAATGACAGATCCACACCTCTTCTGAGATTTGAAGAGTAGGCTCAGTCATTGTTATTACGAGTATAGTCAATATTCACGACTAAGAGGAAAAAAGACTATAAGATTAACGCATTTATCCTATTAGACACAAATGATTTATAATTAAGAGTAAAAGGCACAGTTTTTCATGTACTCAGAATTTTATATACGTATTTATATACCTATTAGTTGATCTTCATCCGAAATTGTTTTAACGTGACACAAAAAAAACGTGATTATAATATAAAATCAGTCAAAATAAGGAATGTCTGTATACTTTTTAACAACTTATAAATAAACTAATTTGTTACAGATAAGATGCAGTCATCAGCCATATTCTGCATTTATGCTGCAATCGTATCGCAAGTCTACTCGGTGAGTTATGATTAAGATGATCATTAGGCAATGCGTTAAACGAGGTTACTATGGCTTCATACATGGTAGAATTACATTCTAAGTTGTTCTTTCTGAGTGTAAATAGTTGTGTAAAGAAAATAAATTATGTTTAATTCTTTGTAACACGTGACCTTTAAGATGTGAGATTGATGTTAATAAATTTAATAGACTTCATTTATTAATTACGTTACTGACCTAAGTCTCTCTCTCTCTCACTATCTCTCACTTTTTCTCTCTCTCTAAGTTATTTTATGTTAATTTTACGTACAATGGCCATTAAGTCGCCCATTACTTATATACTTAAAAGAAATACAATAAAGATATATTATTCCTAAATTCTTAAAGCGTTGCCGGGGACGTCGGGTGCAATAAAATTTGTTAAACGATTTAGGACGAAGCAATAAATCGCAACGATGTTTTTGTATCGAGTTAAAAGCCGAACAAATCGGAATATAGCACAGTTATATCCAGACATACGTGACTGGATAATTGAAAAATAAAAACCAGATGTTGTTCTGACCACGCAAATAAACGAATCTGCGCGGTGCCGTTGGATTATTTTCTGTTGTTTCAGTAACAATGGGAACTTTCTGTAACAAATAACAATATAAATAGGTATGGAAATTGCTATTATTAAATAACAAACTTTAACGCTTTAAAACACGAAAATTGTATAATGTTTTTGCGTTTTAAACAGTTAAAACAATTGCATTATTTTCTATTTACTGTCTAATACGTAAAATATTAATGAAGATATCGAGGTCCTAATCATTCTTATAAAACAAATATATATTATACATTTAAATTAGTCATATATTAGTGCCAAGTAACTATAAATTGTGTAAACACAAATAAATCAAATATTTGGGCAGAGGTTTGCACGATATCAAAAAATATTTCGTACCTTTATAAAATATGCACAATTTAAAGCTAAAATAAAATGTATTAAGTAATGTATTTTCGATGATCAAACTGCAAATAATAAAGGCTACATCAACTACCAAACCAATATATTATGAAGTAATATTTTTGGATATGGCAATAAAATTATGTTTATTGTACAATTACTGTACTTACTAAATTAACATTTATAATACTTTACACGTTTTCCTTTCAGAAAATATCATTTTCAATTTTGCACACAAAAATCTATACTTATATTATAAAGCCAAAAAGTTTTGTTTGTTCAAAACGCGCTAATCTCAGAAACTACTGGTTCGAATAGTAAATTCTTTTTGTGTCGGTTGAATCACTTATCGAGGAAGGATTAAAGGTATATGACATCACGCTGCGACCAATAAGTGCGAAGAAACGGTGGAAAATGTGGAAAAAACGGGGAAAAATATGTATTCTTGAGAGCTTCCATTGCGTGAGCTGCGAAACCGGTTTAAGAAACCGAAAAATATATGATAACGTAATTCCTCTTTAAATGAGCGACAGCAGTATATATCTATATTTTAAGATTAACTTGCAAGAACGACAGGACGCGGACAAAGTGCGGGTACTAGTCTCTAATATAAAGCTAATTTAACGTCAACATCTCCAAAAAAGTATCATTAGAGAAAGCTCTGTTAAAAGATAAAAATCTTATATTTATTTTACTAATCCACCAAACAAGTTCTATAGAGGTCAAAGTCAAGGTTTTCGGTGTCGGCTGTTACGCCATAGATCCAGTAAACCAGTCTTTTTATCTCAATTATAATATTATATTCGTAAGTCAAATGAAGATTCATAGATAGAATAAAATTACATTTTCCGCTAGCAGGCGGCACGAACTGGCAATGAATTTTTCTGAGCTAATGACTTGTGATAATATTAATGGCTGGATAATGGCTACACTGACATTACGACCTTTCGAGGGAAAGTTCGGTGTCCTTCGTTTGAACTTTACTATCTCTATTTTGTCAAAGACATATTAAGAATCATTAATCTTTTTAAAATTTTCACGAGTTATAACAAACATAATCTGTACATACGGTCGTTTGTATACGAAAATATATTGTATTCATTTAATAGGATATAACAATTAAATAAAACACTTTAACGGTTTAAAACGCGATATATATTAGTTAAACTTATTTGAAAATTATTTTCGGATGCTTCGCAGTAGCCATGGTCTCAGGTTTTATTTAAATGTGTACTACTCGCGTTAATTACAGACAATGCTTTTTCCTTTACAGTTATAATTATTTACAAATTTATTCCTAAAAATAGTGTTCATAAAGCTATAATATCATTAATTTTAATTAAGTGCCATTAGCTATATTTATGGTATACCTAGTTAAAAATGAATTGTGTTTTAATTGCATAATGAATTATTGTTATTTTATCTTAACACTGACTCATAATATTCTTCACACGTTTAAATATCTGCTGAATAAAGTTTAAGGTTAGTACGCGTTGTTTCTATAATAGTTGTCAATGTTAAAACATTTAAATAAAACACTTTAACGGTTTAAAACGCGATATATTAGTTAAACTTATTTCGAAATGATTTTTAACTTCGGCCCGACGTTTCGGATGCTTTGCAGCAGCCGTGGTCACGGGGAGTATGTGTTAAAATGATTTTCAAATAAGTTTAACTAATATATATCGCGTTTTAAACCGTTAAAGTGTTTTATTGAAATGTGTACTACTCGCGTAAACTGTAGACAGTATTTAATGTTTCTCATTCTCAAACTTTTTTAAATAGTACCTTTACGAAAACATAAAAAAAATACAAAAAATCAGACGTGTAAAGTATACGTTTTAAAGTTACTAACGTTTTATGAAAGTTTAATAATGAAATAGATAACATTTTTCCTCGTGTTTGCGTTAATAACTCTACAGGAAAGTCGACCGATATTGTAAGGCTACGTGAAAATGAAGGCGTCGTAAAAGTATCGAATTAAATCTTCTGTATCGATAAATTACCGACTCGTAAATAGTGGGTTTTAACAAAAGACCTTAAATGCAACGTGCACCGCCTCAGGAAGAATAATGGCGAAATACTCTGTTTTTAATGCTACATTCGCGTGTTGGAATAATATAATCGCAAGTGAATTTTTCCTTTTTCAGTTCGTTGTCGTTTTTGCAACACCGGTGTCTATTACGTCGTGTAATTGTGTATGACTAGGTCATGGTGATAGCAAACTTAATTACACGTACTGGGATTATGTTTGTGTTGTTCCAACGAAAACAATTTCGTAGTTCTCTAGTTATTTCTTGCCATTATAACCACGCTATGCTCTTAATTCAAATACCTTGAGTTTTATCTGGTTGTAGCAGTTTCTATGGCAGTAGGATAAGCTTGTTATTCACTTGATGGAAGATGGGCTCGTGGGGCACGGGGCGAACACATTTCTGTGGCCGTTTCACTGATCGGTTTTATTTACAGGCGAGTAGTAGATCAGACTTTTGTGCCCTGCCTGACCGAAACAATTTACTGTTTCGCCGGGATTCGAACCCAGTACCCCTCGTGCTTAACGCAATGCTAGGCAACACGTTTAACCAATTAGCTACAGAGGCGGTCCCAGTCATAGAACATCCAAAAAAACCTACCCTCCCTATCTTATGCTGTTAGCCTATTTTAGCTTTTTTTAAATTACAGACTACAATGCATTATAATTTACAGCTGTTTCATCTGAAGATTTGGTTTGCGTTCCGCATGGAATTGCGATATTCCTACCATCCATTCAATATGCAGATTTACCAGATGAAGTCAATTACGTTTCAGAAAATTATAATTTGATTCCCAAAAGCACGGTTGAGAATCGAACCCTACCTATTGATAACTTTATGTTGTTACTATTACACCGACGAGTCTGACAATAAGTCGCGCTTAATCGTATCATTGATTCAATCGTTGCGTTGCAATGCCTAGTCTTGCGTTAAGCATGGAAGTGTAAATAAAAACAATCACGAAAATAGACTAATAAGATATAGGTATTCTTTCCACGCCAAAGTTACCTCAATACGAGATATAAAAATTAACAAGTAGGTTTTTAAAATGCGCTTTTAAAATTGAAATTATTATAAATTCAATTTCTATTATTACAGTAGTAAATATTGAATTAAGGAGCTCTATGCCTGAATAAATGAGTACTATTTCAAGTCAGTAATTTTCTCTTCGAATAATAATTTTCGGTCTTTAGACTAATTTATGCTCTTATCCCTGGATTAACTTAGAAATATATTGTAAAAGCGAGTGTATTTTCTTTACTGACGTCTGAATTCAACTGATAAAACGTTGTAAGAGACGTATTAATATTGTTGTCTGTTAAAGGAAATATTGTGACAATTGAAGGTACTCTAGGTAACAATCTATTGTTCTGTTAAGAATTATTCCGCGTTTTAACTTCCTCATTATAATAATATCGGCAGAAGCATCATTCATTTGCGTGTTTAGAATAAAGCAACATTACTTATGCGTCGTTTGTTTCTGTAGACACCATAACAAAATAGGCATATTATTTTAATAAGAAATAGATACAATATAGATTAGATTTAAATCGATTTTAGATAAAAAAAAAATTAATGACGCAGGCAGAACTTGAATCGGCATCCCCACCATTCTGATCTCTAATACACAAGTCTTAACTTTGAAATTACATTGCGCTAGAGCTGCATGTATTAATTGTTTTAATTGGTTAAAAAACTTCGACGATGACGTGTAGGACACGGTACGTTGTGGATGACAGCTCAAGCACTGCCCGTGTCGTTAAATTAATATTATATATTAAACTACCACGCTGGCTTTCTGCTAATCGTTGTAAATGACGCATGTCGAATTTTAGTTTCTACAGTGCACAGATTTGATATTCTTAGTGTTTATCACACTTTCTTTACAAGAGAGCAGGCATCTGATTGTACGCATAGAATATAATGATAACGATGCGCAAGCGGGGATCGAATTTCGTACCTTACGAAAGTCGCGTGCACCTACACCTCGGTTGTCACATTGATCAAACTATATAAAATGTGAACAATTTCCAAAATTAAGGCCTCATAGAATAAACAACCAACAGCGTACAACAATAGCAGTTATAAACGTATAAAGAGGTATTATGTAGTGTTCACAGGTAACAAAACATTTTTCCACGTTCCGATTGTATGGTAAATACTTGAAGAACAATATGGATGTTGTATCTGTAGTTAACACGCAACAGATATTGAAAAACACTGGTAACGGGTTAAGATTTGAAATATTAAAAATTGTTATGTGCAACCCTAAAATTAATGCGGAACAATTTTATATGTAAACACAAACATATTAAGCGTAAAATTATGACGGTACATTTTATGGGTCCATACGTTTGTCCATTGTTGGTTAACACTAGTTTTAACAAGCATATTTTAAAAATTTATTTTCAGTACACAATTACTTCATATGTATTCATTGAAGTATTTTTAATAAATGGTACACATAGGTACATACAATTCCATTGAAAACTTAACATTTGTTTTAGGCTCCACAATTTATAACTTTTCAAGATGGAAAATTAGGAGTTAACTTCGCTGGTTACCATGCTGGTGTTGGAATTGGCGGCTTATTAGGTAAGTTAAATGTAAAAACTTACTTGTTTATATATTTAATTCAGTTTCCTAACATTTTTAAGTATTATATTATATTATCATTAAAAGACAGAAACAGAGGGTATTTTGATTTCAAAAACGTTGACATATTTTTGTTATATTTTTTCAAATAACAAAATTTTAATTATATTTCTAGCAAATGGTACTCTGGGGGGATTGTATGCGGAGGCCGGTACCCCAACAGGACAATCGGCTACAGCTGGCCTTGGCGGCGTTGTAAACAAATATGGACATGCTTCAGGTGTGCATTTTATTTTTTGGTCTTTAAGCGTTTCCATATTCGCTAGGCTAGGCAATTTTCATTTTAACTATTATCTTAATGTGATTACTTTGTAAACAGTTTTTCTTTAAAATTACTGGATAAAACAATAAAAGGTTTGTCTTTTGTAACAAACTGTGTCCCAATTTTGCTACTGAAGGGATTCGATTTATATAAAAATTTGTTCAGATATTCTCCACAGGAGGTCTATACGCGGGAGCTACAGCTGGTAACAATGTACAGGCAGCTGCAGGTCTCTCCGGTGGTTTAAACTCTGAAGACTCAGCTGGAAATGGATTCGCGACTGCTCAAGCTGGCAACCGCATAACTTCCGCAGCCCTGGTAGGTGGTGGGGGCCCTCTCAGTGAAATGATAAAACGAAGAATGGAGGAAATTCAGAAGCGGAGGGAAGCCCTAAAACCCGTACAAAATAAACCTGCGTTGTAGGCATTAGCGTTGATAAAAGAACCAATGAAAGATTCCTATTGTAGAATGTAGTTTTCATAGTTTTCGTAAAGTTTTTATTATGTGTTTTTTTTTAATATCAAATAAAACTAACAAAAAAATAAACAAAAAACTAATAAAAAAAAATAATATCTCTAAATTTGATTTAGTCATCAGAAGGCAGACTCCTTAATTAACAACGATAAGGTAACAAGTAACATACGAGCATGGGTTTTATGCATGCCATCCTCCAAATTATTTTTGGGGTGTGCACATTGGTTGGCTTATAAAGCATCGTTGGTCTCATTCACTCCATATTTCGTAATGTGGTCAACCGCAGACTACACGTAGCTTATGCTAATGAAAATATTAGCCCACATAGCACCATACCCATACTTGAGTGATCAGCACACTTCTAATTCACATTGTTTGAATGGTAATTTAACTTAAAATTCATATTATATTAAAATATAACCCGGTCTATTTTTGTAATAAATTACTTTCGATGGCCTTTAAGTAATACGAAGAACAAGTTTCAATTACCAAGATTCAAACTTTGTGAGATATACTAATTTTAAATAAACATTCTAAACCCTAATCATAATATTTTCAGGGCGGTAACGCAGGAGTCGAAGGATCATCTAGTTATCACGTCAAAGAAGTAGCAGTAGCGCCAGTACAGCATAACGTTGAAGCTCAATTCAACTTAGATTCTCATATAAATGAAGTTCAGCCATTACCTCAGTCACAAGTTGAAATACACAAGACAATAATTAAAGAAAGTGTCCCTCCACCACCTCCTGTTATTGTCAAAGAAGTGAGTAACGAATGGCCAATCCGACAACACCACGTAGACAATCCATTTAATAGATTTCAAGAATTATTTAAAAATCTATTTAATATTCCTTTAGATGGAGATATTGCGCCAAACCATCATAAGGTTTGTTTTGATGTAACTGTGTGATGTGTGAAAAAATAATCAATCAATACAATCATTTCGTTCCTAATATTTGTAATTCATTTCATGTTGTTTTATTACAAAAACATTAATAAATTGAGTAAGGCTTTCACGGACATCGTTCAGCATATCATTGTTTTTCGGGCTCTTCGGTTGACGTGAGTAAGAAGAGGTTTTCGAGCAATTTAGGAGCTAACATCTTCTGATGATGCCAGCTCGTGAAGGCGAAACGTCGAGAACCTCTTCTCGCTCACGTCGGCCGAACAGAACAATGATATGCTATAGAGACATTGTTTCTAATACACTGTTATTAAGCAGACATAAGTTAATTTCCATTGTTCGTTTGCATTTTAGTTGTAATGTTATATTTTTAACGTTTGTATTACTTTAACCGTTTCATCAATTCTTATATGTTATTTGTATTTTTTTATTGGTTTGACTTAACTTCCTTTATGAAAAAATTGTTGGTATTGCCGTGTTTGTTAGACTTAATTTGTCTCAAATCAACTATACGCTATTGGGAAAATAAATTCAGATTAACTAATTATAATTTTAATTTTACCAGGTTATCGTCGAGTCACCACCACCACCTACTCAGATTGTTGAAAAACATATAGTCCACACACATTACAAACACAAGCGTCCTCATCTACGTAAAACTGCGTTCGTCAGCGGATACATCGGTGGTGGAGCAAATGTACCGGAAACTGTTGTTTATAGAACAGAACCAGTCGCTGAAAAGAGAGTAGATGTGGCAGTTGAAGCTAATGCCGGCGCTGGTCCGGAACCACATTATAATGGTGGAGGTGGAATTAGAAACGTCTATAGGAAGGAAGTATCCATTCACAGAAACCCAACATTCTTCAGTGATATTTTCAATGTAAGCATAATTGGATCTACGTACATATTACATTCACGCTTTAAGTTACTGTCTCATAGAATACATATAATACAATAGCGTCAGTAGTTAAATTAAGTGTTCCTTGTTTATTATACATATTTCGAACCTAATAATATATATATACATATGTATTATTAGTTTCAATTACAAATTATATCTTTGTATATTAATTAGCTTACACGGAAAAAAGCAACAGCATGACAAATCTACCCTAAGCTACATCGTAACTTTACATATTTTTTCAGATTCCCATTTCAACATTGAGAGCGGTGAGCGGCTTCCTTGGGAACACCGCAGCAAACACAAACATTTCCGTTCAAAAATCAACTTCAGTTGAAGCAGGTGGTTACTTTTAGATCTGAATAAAGGAAAATACATTATGTATTGTGATTCATTTTATATAAATTTTTCTACAGATTATATTTTATTTTAATTTATTCTTTTCTTAATCTCTCAAAATGTAAAGAGGGTAGTACTTATAAGTAACGTAAAAATTGTTTGTAGTTAGTGATAGAAAAAAAAAATAATATTCGTATAATATATTTTTGTAATGACAATAAAAACGGAAATAGCCCGCAGTAGAAATCCAGTAAAAATAATTTCAAATCTTGCTGCTGTCGTAAATCTGGCTGTGTTTTTATCTCTTAATTTTATTACACCTAAAGTAATGTTTTCCCCTTTTCACGAGTAGGATTTAGTATAGTATGTTTTTTCGGGAAATATTGTAAAAGGGCGATGGAGAATGTAGATAAAATGGGCTCAAAAATAAGATTAAAACATATGTTATCTAACGATAATTTTTTTAAACACCAGTTTATTAAATTAAAAATTGCTTAACGAGAGATTTATAAATGACTATAAATCTATCAGATCATTTGCCATTTTAATTTTTTACTAATATTTCTTTACCATCAACAGGGTCTGACACTGAGCTGAAACATGATCCATCATCGTCATCATCATCTTCATCTCATGTATCGGTTCAGACACCAACAGCATCTAAATTCATAGACGACATTTTCTCTGTAAGTTCATCAGTCTTCATTCCATTATATCTTCTATTAATTCGCTTTTATAAAGACACGAATTTTGCTGTCTTTTAAACTAATAGGTTTTTTAAACTATTGTTAGTAGTAGTTTTTTATTATCTTTGGCAGAAAAGTACTTTGGCTTTTTCTGGTAAAATATAAGTCTTTTTCTCTTGCGACAAAATTCGTGTCCCTAATGAACTTTAACCATGATTTTTGCATTTGATGCCTATTAAATTACACCGTACAAACAGTTTCGGTACGTGTAATGTATAGATAACTATAACTTCATTAAAATCTAGCAAATGTGTCTAATGTTTGTATGGGATATTTTATACCGCCTTACAAAAGGTTTTCTGTATAAATATTGTGGCATAAAATTACTGTAAAAATAATATAATCGTTGCTAAGTTTACACAAGAATCTCATGAATGAAGACTCAATATAGCACAGTTATTATTTTCTTACTGACCATTCAATATAAACAACATATTCGTTATTAATTAAAATGTGTTTGCGCCAACCGCCAATATCATTATTAATATAAAGTTATATTTCACATCATTCCTTTCAATTATAGTTAATTAGTAAAATACTAAACACATGTTGCTTTGTATAAGTAAAAGGCTTCTATATTCTATGATCTTGATGAAATAATTGAAATTATGCATTGTTTCTGAAATTATACAAATAACATCAATTTGTGGATCGTGTTTTGATAATTCGTGTTGTTTAATCTAAACCAAATCACGGCTCGGATTTCAATTGCCAGTAAATAGCTGAAGCTAATCAGCGCAAAACTTGCTGATGTACAATAAAATTTTTGCTCTTATCTAATTTTAGATTTAATGATTGTTAAACAAAACACTTCAATCGTTTAAAATTTAAAATATTTATTTTTTAAGACATAATAAATAAACGAAGATATTTCACGATATTAACCAAATTAAAGGACGCTTGAGGAATTTAATTTAGTGTGAACTATAATTATTTTATGGCTTTATAAATATTGTCGTCATTTGAAGTATAGGTAAGTAATAATTTTACAAAACTAATATTTATCGGACCTATGATATAAAGCATGATATATACAAATGATTCCTGGATCCGCAATAACTTTTAATTGATAATATCACCACGGGAATAGCAAAATCAAATCTGAAAATAAATGATATGCTTTGTTTATAACTAACCTGCTTAATTTACTGTTTACTATAATCTATATTTAGATACCAATAAGCACCTTGGGGGCTGTGAATCGGTTCCTAGAAAATAACGTGGCCCGGAAAAATGTTCAGGTAACTGTTTCATATTACGCTAGGTATAGTTTGGCTTCGATAGTAAAAAATATGAAAAAGCAACTGAAACCGTAATCCGATTCCGTGAAAACCTTTTTTGACTGTTTCACTGATCGATTGGTATGTAAAGGTAGAATTGAACTATGAAAAACATACCTATGAAATTATTGACTTTGATTCTTTGGAATTTGTCGAACCAGTGACAAAACATTTGTCTATTTATAGTAAAGCAACACTAATACAACTTGAAAAGTCGTCAGTTATTTTTCACATTGTCCCGTGAAGGCTTTACTATTTTTCATGACATGAAGGCACAATTTAAAAAATGTGTCAAAAAATTTTAGCAATAGCACGGTACGCTGTTCAAGGCCTGCCCGAGTCGAACATGTTTTCAATTCATTTTCAATTTTTATATTTGTCCTGTTTAATTGATTTAGTTGACTTTAAATGTTATATTATTAAAACTTTACGGCTTTTTCATCTGTGGATGGTGGTTCGTCCGGACGGAATTTTTCGATATAGCCTTACACAATTTATGGAATTTGTCGATATTCTTATTCATTCGAAGTGCACCATGTCAAATTTAATTAGAAATATGTAGGACCCCAGAGGATCGAACCACGACCTGTTGATTATTAGCTATAATATGTTGCTACCATAAGACCAGTAAGTCGATTGTGTCTATTCATCAATTGTTCGATGTTATAGGTTGTTCACGAAGGTGTGCCATCCAGAGAAAGGCGCGTTCCAAAAGCCCACAGGCGAGCCAAGATCTACGTAGAGGAACCGTAAAATACTAGTTCACAATCGTGAAATAGCACAATCAATAAATTAAGGTTCATATAAGTTTAATTACATTACAAAATTACTTCTACCGATGTAGTACATTTATGACGGCAATTACAAAAACAAATTGGAACCAGTTAATTAATTACAACGCAGCATTTCTGACCAATATTAATTACAGTACAAAGTACGAAAGATATGTGATGTAAATAAAAGGGTAAAAAAGGAAATTAGCTTTGTTTTATTTTACATTAATGTTTTTTACATAATGTTTTGGTAAACACTCTATACCTTTCAATTAAACTATGAAGATATATAAGTACTTACCATTTTGGGAATATCGTCAACATAATATGTAATTTGGCAGTAAAATAGACGTAAAACGGTTTGAAGTAACAATGAAAACAGTATGAAACTTCAAAGCATTATCTTTTGAAACAATATTATTTTTCTTTTAAATAAAACATTTGAACGGTTTAAAACGCGATATATATTAGTAAAAATTATTTGAAAATTATTTAAACTACGGACCGACGTTTCGGATACTTTATAGAAGCCGTGGTCACGGGGAGACTAAAGATGGAGGGTGTCTCTGACGTCAAAATAAATATTGCTACGCTAGCGCCACCTGTTCCGTGGAAGTTGGTATTTGGCGAGATGGGCCGGGTCCTTACAGCTGGTATGCTGTTATTTGGAATAATTCTTTTCTTTCTACTGTGTGAAATAAATGTTAAGTTTTTTAATAAGCATTTACTTGCATTAATATGATTATTAATATTTAAGTCACCTCTAAATAATATATCAAGTACATAACAGGAAATATCTAACGATGTTTCGATTCATTCCGAATTAAATTAATAAGCGATATATTGCTCAATCATTCAATTATCCGCCAATTTATGTTCCGTACATTTCTCTACAAATTGCTAAGCAAAATCTCCATCTTAATAAAATGCTTTGCCTTTCGTTATATCGAGATATGTGAAGTAAGATTCGTAATAAAACAATTACATTTTATTTATAACAGAGGAAAAAATAGAAATCCTTCAGCTTTTCCATCTGTGGCCGGTTGCTTTTGACCCTTCGATGATCCAAAACCTAGGTATGATCCATATTCGAAAAACCAATAAATGATTTTGAAACTTGCTAGATCCAAAAGAAATCGAATCCACTACCCCAAGGTTTACTTTGCTACAATTAAACTAATAAGTCAGCCGCACTGCGAAGTCTTTAACTTAAAAAAAAACAATTTTACGGTTTTAAACGCGATATATATTAGTTAAACTTATTTGAAAATTGTTTAAACTACGGTCCGACGTTTCGGATGCTTTGCTGTAGCTGTGGTCACGGGGGAAAACGTCGGTCTATAGTTAAAATAATTTTCATATAAATTACCTTTTAGTTTTAAACCGTTAAAGTGTTTTATTTAATTGTATACTACTAGCGTAAACTACAGACAACATTTAGTCTTAACTTATCAAACTTTAATGTTTATCATTCGCTTATCCAGTTAAGCCAGCTACAGATAGGTCTCGACAGTTCGCGTTTCACGAACCCTTTATTACGCAAATGTAAAATGTTTAGACTTAAGTTGAATGTTAGAACACAATTAACATCTCTTCGCTTCACCTTTTAAGAGTATTAAACCAGACCCTCGGATTTGTGAAGCTTTTGAGTCAAAGGTACGTATTGTAGAGATTCATTATGATGTAGTGGGGTATGGGACATGTAAATTATATGACGTGTATCTATGTAGCGATAATTCATAGGATAATTATGTCACCTAAAACCCGATATTTGGATTAAAATTAAAGCAAATCATGTACATAAAAAATACATAAAAATAGATAAGATAATCAAACCAGTGGTCTAATACTAATTATATTATACCACCTCATGGTTCAATGACTAAACTCATTGTTTAATATAGTGATAACTAATAGTTTCGGCTTAGCAGGGTATCGTTAGAATCCTATTAATTAAAAAAGACAAAGAAGTTTGTTTGTACCGTGAATGATGTAAGTAGGTTGACATTCATTCATAGATTTATTAAATTTAATATAAATCTGGTTGGCTATCATTTACTCTTGCTTTAAAACAAGAGTAGCGTTAGAGAGGGCTAATTATATAAAAATTTAAAAAAGATTATTTTATTAACTAAAAATAGGTTTACAAGTAACAAGTTTGTTTTCTATTGCTTAGAAAGTAACTATCGTTTAGAACTGTACTGTACAAACCCGCATCGCAAACTTTTAGATGCTTTTATAGTACCGCGCTATTTGTTTTCTATAAAAGCCTTAACTTCTTCTTTTTCGTTCTGAAATATCTAAAGTAATATTATAAAGAGAAAAGATTTGTATTTTTGTATGTAATGGGTAAAATCAAAAAGTACTGGACCGATTTTAATAATTCTTTTTTCATTAGAAAGCTACATTATCACTGAGTAACATAGGCTACTTTAGTACTTGATTACTATAGGCATCTATAGAAATTCTTATTAAAACCAACGGAAGGCGTAAAAAAAATAGCCGTAAAATGTCTTTCTTCGCATACGCTACGAAAAGTATTAATGATAGGACAAAAAAAATGTTCTACAACATTATAGATTATATATCAATATCTATAAAAACGCCGCGCATCGAGTAACTAATTCGACGATAGAGGCAGTGGGCTCCTTACGCAGTGGACACGACCGACATTGTATTTTTTTTTTTTTTTAAACAGCTGTATGTTTCACTTAAAAAAATCTTTTCAAAGCTACTTAGTTTTAGTATTAGGAATCACACTTTGCATAATGTTTGTCAAAGTTCTTTTCAGAACTATCGCTTTGAAGTTGAATATTTTCTTTTGTATTATTATTAGTTTATTCTTCATTTTTCTGATTTAAAATAAATATCCTTCATAGCAGTATGCCTAGAATCTCAGCTCAGCGCAGCTATCTAAGAATAGTTCCCAAGGGAGATTAGCAAAGTTTGTCGTATTGGAGAGTCTTCTTCCTAAAATGATCATCAGGAAAGTATTATAGTGTACGCGTCCCAATCGCAAGCCAGAGAATCTATCGTCGAATGTTCAGGTTCGTTTTGCAGAACAAAATACAAGTTCGTCTCAGCGACTTGAAGGAAATAGAGCAAGGAATTCGCTAACGCATGCACGGGACTCTAACACTGAACGCTCGCAGCGGCTCCTGACACAGCGTGATAGACAAAGGTCGTTAACAGCTAGGACGCGAAATACATTTTTTTTCTAATTTAGTGATTCATGGTCGTTTTAATTAGCATGCTTATAATTTTAATATCTGTACTTATTTATGTCTACCCGTGCGAAGTCGGGACATGCCGCTAGTATCTAATATACAGTGGAGACGTACCTACCCTACCCTGATGACATTTTAATTGTTCTACCTTTAAATGGTTATTTTTTTCGATAAATATATATAAATGAATACTAAATGCTGTCTATAGTTTACGCGAGTAGTACACATTTAAATAAAACACTTTAACGGTTTAAAACGCGATATATTAGTTAAAATTATTTGGAAATGATTTTTAACTTCGGCCCGACGTTTCGGATGCTTTGCAGCAGCCGTGTTTAAACCGTTAAAGTGTTTTATTTAAATGAATACTGTTTGAAAACTTTAATATTTTTTACATCTCATTGCACATGATGACACTATTTAAATTAAAAATCTAATATATATTTTTTTAATAAGAGCAACAGCACAGAACGCTGACGTTGTCGGTTCAAGTCCTGCCCGAGTCGAGTAATTTTCTCAATTTATTTTTGGATTTAAAAATTGCATAAATACTATGTGTAGACTTTAACGGTTTAAAACGCGATATATTAGTTAACCTTATTTGAAAAGAGTATTTACTATCTCTAGTTTACGCGAGTAGTACACGTTTAAATAAAATACTTTAACGAGTTGGATAAAACCCCCTTATATATTAGTGAAACTTGTTCAAAAATTATTTTAATTACGGCCCGTTTCGGATGTTTCAGCAGCCATGGCCACAGAGGGTCGGCTGCTACTAACTTTATCTTATATATAATCGCGTTTTAAACCGTTCAAGGATTTTTTTAAATATATAGATAGTAATTCTAATTGCCCCTTTTTTTTTTTTAAAAAAAAAATTATTAAATTTGGTAATAAAAAAAAAAAAAAATTTTTTTCTTCTTATCTACCAAAGAAAAAAAAAGCCCCTTGCAGTAGCGTAGCTATCGTAGCGCCGGGGGTTGCTGCATCAGGGCCCTGGAACTGGGCTTCTCCCTCATGTTTGAAAAGAGATAAACGAAAAGAAGAAAAAAAGATTTTTCATGTTTGTAAATGAAATATTATTTTTGTAATTCTGGTGACTTATATGAAGTTACAAAATACACAGAAGGAGAGCCGCATTACGTCTTTATGTTCTTCTCAACCTATCTAGTCTGCTGTACACTTTTGATTAAAATTTCGTTGATTATGCAACACGTGTTAATAGGAGACTCTCCACTTTGCTTCTTAGGTAAGCATTCTTGGCGGGATCCATCATGCTATCAATAGATCAACGTAATTCTACTTTCATAATAGTCCTTGCAGACACACCATTACAATAATAGCACCACCAAAACTACGTATTTATGTATGCCTCAAGCAGAATATAACATAAAAACAGTAGTAAATTTGTAATAACACGCAATGTGGACTCGTAAAACAGACAACTTGTTTACAGCTTTAGCGAAATGAAAGTAGAGCTGCCGTATAAGCATTTTATTGTCTTTTCTTCAAAAGTCAAGAACTAACCCATCTTGAAAATAACGCGGTTCAAGTTTTAAATATGGAACGTAAATAAATCACGGTAAACAGAGCGTGGCGAACACTCGAATTCTAATTGTGGTACCTATTAAAATATAATCTTACATTCGTAAAAATAAATAATTATTATATATTGACTTGACCACAGTCGTGGCACAGTAATCTTGAATGTAGTGGTAGTTGTGTAGGTAGTAACACAAAAGGCTCGTTAAGT